CAAGAAGGTCATATTTATTTTCTAATATCAAAATATTGATTAAATCGCCCTTAAATATATAAGTATAATATATTTATTGCGTTTGGAGAGTTGCATTGATTTATGTACCCACTAAATCTGTCATATGAATAAATGTTATGTAATGCTAAAACGTCAAGCCGAAGACAAGCATATCATTGAGATAAGGACGCTATAATCATATAGGCCACTTCCGTGACCTTTGTTTCCAACATAATAGCATTGTAGAAGGTCAATGGTTCATATTCTATTGTTTCACAATTTCGTCTTGTAGTAATGGTCAATACTCATCTGAATTCATTATAACATTAGCGTATTTGGCATTTATGAACTTCCTTCTCTATAATATGAAGTATAATTGCAAATGCTTACAATAAAAAATCTATATTAAATATATAATAAAGTAAACAGACACTAATTTTATTATAAGTAAAGTGTGACAAGCAAAAATATTGAATAAATAAATTCTATAATTGAAGTCACTTTTATTTCACTTTTGTTAAGTGAATAACGCAAGCAAGGAAAATTAAGGTTGATTAAAAAGTTTCTGGAAATTAATTGCGACCCAGGGACTCGTAGAATTTTTTTAATGTTTGTAGTTATATTTAAGTGCAGAAAATGCAAACAATACGCTATTTGCCAGTTTATTAGGGCTTCTCTTAATTAAATGCAGCCAAGAATATATTTATATTAAATATAAACAACAAATTTTGTTTAAATAACTTTTCAAAATTATTTCAAGTATTCTTGAAATTCTAATTATTAACTTCTGCATACTCTAAACTAATTATTCTATTTCTAACTTCTGCATACTATTATCTACATGTAAATAATACTACAATTTTTGCTTTGAACGATAGTTTATGATTTAAAATTTAGCCTATATTTGGTTTCCCTAAATGCAAGGAAAACATCTCAGTACCAAAAGCCCAGAAACTTGGAACACCTTCAAAAAGGAATTCCACTCCTCCAACTCCCAGTGTTTTCTCAGCAGTTAAATGACCATACTATAACGTGGTATACTGATACTTCCAAAACCAAACCACTATCTAGACTAGAACCACAGATAACACATAATGTGATTATGTGTTATCTGTGCTAGAACCGTTCTGCATCCCAAGTGGAAATCAAGAGCGGAAGTCAAGAACATGGAAGACTCCATCCATAACCTGGAATGGGATTCCTCCAACAACAAAAACTAGATTTAAGTAAGAACAATCTTCGGATTATCCACGGGTTTTTTAACAGAACACTGTCTCTCAGTAAACTCTTCAGTAGACTGAAATTAAGAAACAACGGCGAATGCAGATTCTGTTGGGAAAATGGGGAAACACCAGAACACCTCATCACTGAGTGCACCGAAACGATAACGATTCGTGCCATAAACTATGGTACGACTGATATCGGAGATGGAGATCTAACCTCTGTAAAACCGAATCAGATACTGGCTTTTGTCAAAGCCCTGAGACTGTATGATCAGCTTCAAGAAAGGGGGACACAATAGGTCTATAAGGTCGCAGTGGTTAACTTCTCTTCTTCTATACAATCTACAAGGCCAAAATGGACAATATTTTCGTGTTCTATATCTTTTTATTAGTTAATAAAAATAATTTCATCAAAATGGTTAAAATCATAACCTCTTGAATTTTGTTAGCACTGTTAGTTTTCAAAAAATCACTTGTCTTCGTTATAAGTATAGTAATCAGCTTCTTTTTGTACCGTTTCTTCTGTGCGAAATGTCAAAAATAACTAATGAAGCGAAGCCGAAGTTGTTTTAGTAGTTCTGCGAGATAATTTTAAAAGTCGCTGTCAAATTAAGTATTACGGTTAAATTAATAATTTTCATGACGCGCACAATTCTCGAAGACGATTGTGGCAAAAACAAAGTGTCAAAAAGCAAGAGGGCGTAACCGAAGTACATAAATTACTATAGATTTCTTAATACAACTTGCCCAAGTGACTGCGGACCGAGGCGTTTTTTGCATAACTGAAAATTCCCGTAGGACGAAATGAATTAATCAAGTTCAACCCTCTCGTGAAATAAAATTAATGAGTTTTCACTTGGTTAAATAAATTTTCACTATTTCCACTCGCCAAGATTTTATATTTTCGACATGCCGGCAACTTTAGGACATCTCGTAAAATTTTTATTTACGTTTTATTCAATAAAACTATCATCGTTTTCGGAACTTTAGTTTGTTTTGCAAAAAATAATGGAAAACTCATATTTTAACAGTTCGATATTATTACTGCTAGTAATTGTAATTAAATGCCCTAATTATGTTTTTAAAATATCTAAATCTATGTAGATCAAGACAGGTTCCCTACCCCCACAGAAAATTATACAAGGCGAGTAAACGATAGAGTAAAGTACATTACCTCACTTGTTTTGAAAATTTAAAAAAATGATAAATAGAAAAGTATTTACGACTTTGTTTTAAAAAAAACTGTGGCAGATATCACATTTGTTTTTTTAATGCAACACGCAAAAAAAAAAGTTCGGGTTTTTATATGAATCAGTGGCACTATAGTTTCTGAAATCCAGGAATTGCAATTTGGTAGAGCAGTTTTATAGATATGAAGAAAAAGATATGTCTTGTATGTAGGACTATTTATAATTTAATGATTAAGTGTTTGACGGAATAATAAAAATAGAAATCCAGATAATTATTAATTCTAAAAACCCGTTTCCCAAAATGTATATAAGATAAAGAAAAAGATATATACCTATAAGCAATCAAAACCCACTTTAAGAGTGTAATAGAGCTATAGCAAAACATTAACCTAACTTTAAGGTGAATCGACCGCCAAATCATTACTGTTGAGTCCCTCCATTCTGACAAACTGATTTCAAATTGATAACCTTTATTTTGCAATTCGATTAGGTGATAACAAAGCTTAGTTTAGAAAGTAAGTTTGTGTGCTTGCTTATTTTGCATCTAACATGTCAAAAATGTTTATTTTTGTATGCAATAAAATGTAGTTTTAGTTTGACAACAGAATCGATTTGCGGAATTTGTAGATAATAAAAAGACCTATATAATCTTGGATAACAAAACACCACCCAATTTTTTGTAAGAATGGATAGAGTAAGATACAATAACAATATATACATTTAATGGCGTTAAATTACAATAGAGCTTCAATTGCGGTACGTTTAGTTATTTCTGCGTGCAGGTGTTAAACTGTTCGTTTTGTCGAAGACAATTAAACGAAAACAGATAAACCGACCAACAAATAATGACATAGAACATGTAAATGCGAAATTACGCCAGCATTAAACTAAGTGTAAAACAACAATTTTATTGGAGCAATAGGATAGGCTATCGCCAAAGTCCCAACTTCAGTAAATAATGCAGCGGAGACACAGAGATAAATTATTTACAAAGGGATCTTTACAATGCAAACAGCTTGTAAGCAACTCGATGCACTACATTTAGGACTTGCATCAATGGCACCGATCTTTTAGCGTAGATTTGATATTCTTTCGAACGATGTAACTCGAACAAGTCATAATCTGATTGAACGAAACTTCTGTTTTAGATTAGAACAATCAAAAGCAAGAAAGAAAGCGCTCGTACTCTTTTGCTTTTACTCGAACATTCTCTTTGAACACGCCAATGTATTTTATTTTAAAAAGATTTTACATTTCCAATAATTCTCTAGTATTTTATTAACAGATTTTTATTTCTTGGAATGTGATAGACAATTGTTTTACAGGTGGAAGTTGAAAATTCTCTTAGTATCAATAGATCTTTGTTTTATACATAAAATTCATAAAAGTAACCTAACCTAACAGGAATATTCCGCATGAACCCACAGTATCTGAAGGAAAAAATATACCGGAAATTTAGATAGATTTTTAATACTCAGATTAATATAATTGATTCGATTAATAATCTGATGGACTCCATCATTTCTTAAAGGTTCGAACAATCAAAACTTAAGAGAAAAACGAAATGTTTCCTCTCCTTTTTTATCTTCTCGGATCTCTCGAGCTCGGGCAGACGAGAATTTATTTTACTTTGGCAGCATTGATAAATCGCGCATCTTTGCAGCGAATTTATTTATGTTCGGAAGTGTTAAAGCAGAGGTAAACTCCTGATTAATTTCTTGCATTACGAAGCACAACTTGTATTATGTTAACTGGAATAGCAGGACGTCCTTCAGAACTGTGTTACAAAGACGGAGACCGGGGGTTTGCTTTGTATATCTAGACGTTTTGAAATACTAAGCCTAATTGTCAGAATATTAGTTTAGATTGTCGTCTGATATCTATTTCATCCTCAAGTTGTAAAATTAATTTTATACAAGGCACTATTTAAGCATTCTTAAATCAATAATTTATTTTATTTTTTTTATAATTTTATTTAAAATAAAATTATTATCATTAATGCACTTAAGAGATGTAGCTTAAATAGCCATAAAGAAAACGCTCAAAATTTGAATTTTCAGATTTAATACAAGAATTTTATCGTAAATTTGAATTGAGGAATACATATATACCGGATGAGCTTGCGTCTTTATATTTGTGTATCAAAAATACTCAAAATGGCTTCTTTGCTTAGAATAAAGCTCTTTCAGGAGGAATGCCTGATTTAGGCGTAATACTATTTAAATCCGGTCTTTGCAAATGTTCCCTTTAGGCAAAAAATATTCTAAAATGTTTGATTTTTCTAGCTGAATTTCTTTAGTTTTATCAATGCAGGATTTTCTCCAAAACAATATACCCTGGCCTTAATTTTTTAAAAACATAAATAAACATTTTCAAAAAATATAACAAATGCATTAACTTTATAACTAAAAATATTCTTTTGTGTTTAAAATTATTTATCATAATTTGGCATGTTAAGTTTCGCACCTTATATTTTTTATTATATTGTGCCTTTTAAAAAAACGAGTCTGCCGTGCAGTTCTACAAAAGGAACTTTAGCTGGTTAACAGTTTAACCATATATTCAAAGTTTCCACTCACTGTTTCAGGTTGTATGAATTTCACCTATGAACCTCAGGAGTTTGCAGTTACTATGAACATGGTAATGGACGGAAACTCTGTCTTCTCGTATACGTTTTCAGGTAAATAACAAATTGTTTATATCTAGATTTATTCGAGAAGAAATATATGTGTTGTCTGCTAATATAATCCTAGTAAAAGTACTTTTTTCACACATATTCCACAAATAAGTAATGTGGAAATAAAATTAAAATATTTGTCACAAAATTACGACATCTCTGCACCTTCTTCAGAATAAAAAGGTCCTATTCATCCGCGTATTGACAAAATTCTCTTAAAGACCTCCCTCAGTAACTCGCTGAAGCCTGAAATCACACCAGACGATAAAGAGACATAGACGGGAGTATTCCATTCATAAAATCACATTTTACGTGGCGTCACTTACAGCTTCACAAGAACTAGCATTCCCTTTATATTATCTCCTTATAATTTTCGGCGCCTCAATTATGAAGAAACAGCAGGTGGGGCCTGTCTTCTTTTGGCTTAATAAGGTGTCATTAAGTTTACCAATAAGTTGTTTTTTAATTTGTGATAATGTAATGTAATTTATGGACGCCCCTGTATTATATTAGTTATTTTTTTAATTTTTTAAACATAAAATTTAATGAAAAATAGTTTATAAAAAATATTTAAAATGACATATCTGATTGCTCTTCGTAAAATATGATTAAAAAGATAAATATATTGTGCCAAACGTAAAATGAGATAAAACCTGTCAAAATATTAAAAGGACAGTAATGGTTTTTTCCCTGCCTCGCTTGCCAGCTATTTAATTATTTATTGTCCGACTTTATTCGGAAGTTAGTGCCCTTTCGGTGTTGTTCGTCGTCTGGTAACTGGCTGGGACTAATTAATCCTATTTTCAATTACTTGTTTAACATTTGAACTACACTGTTATTGGTCTCCAAAGAAATCCTTTAAATTATACTACACGCCCGCAAATTAATTTAAGGAAGCTCGCTCTTTTTTCTCTTCCCTCGCGAAATAATACACACAAATAAGGTGTTCATTAAAAGTTCCCACAAATGGGACAGCGAACTAATTTTAAATGCGAATTATAATTTTAACAAGGGACAGAGAACTATATCACGAAGGTAATGCAATAAAACTAGTTAAAAATATTACATGGTCATATCTGTTTAATTAATTTATTTACTCCACTAGTTCCACTCTAATAGGACTTGCACATGAAAGGGTAATTTTAATTTATGATATGTATTTTTAATTCTCTAATATTTGTTTTTTCGTCCCGAAAATTATCTTCTCTGGAAAATTTATAGTCCACAAATGTAGAAAAGTTTATAAAAAAATAAAAAGTTTACAAATTTATCATTTCAGTTTATTTTTTGTCAATAATTTCATGTATTGAGTATGTTTATTCTAAATATCTTGATCACGGTTGCTCGTTAACAAAGATTACCTTTTTTACGTAAAAAATATCAGAAATGTATATTTTTTTTCACTCAATTGACTTATACAGGTAGGGACCAAAAGTTATTACTCTTCAAAACTGTTAAAAAAACATATAGGTGGCAAACCCTAAAAGTAGGAGTCATATGTCAAAAAACACCCCGACACCAATTTTTATCCAAATATAGACTATAGTTCAGAAATTATTTGGAAAAAACGAAGCATTTTAGGACATAAATTTATAAGAACTTTTTTTACTTATTTTTATATGTAAACTATGCTGCCGAAGTTTCCCGAATACGGTTCGGACCAAACTGTATATGTCTCATTTAAACAAATTCAAAATCTATTCAGATAAAATAAATCAAACACAAAAAAATGTAATATAAAAAATAAAATGTAAATTTGATATACATATTAAAAAAATAAAAAATGAATGCATGAAAAATAAAAAATATGAAAATAATATTCATATATTATTTTCTAGCTAAAAATCCACCACCATTGTGTATTCCCGTACCAATACCGTACGTTCCCCTTCAAGTCGAGACCTGTGCGAGACTATATGACATCTATACACCCGGCCAAAACCTGCACATGTGTTTTGATTTTGAGACGAGGATTGAAAGGGCCACAGTTCTCGTGTTGCATTTCGATTGTATGCGAATGGGGAATGACGGTGTGGCGTTCGTCAAACCGGGAGACGTTGGGGCATTGCCCCCTTCTTTAACCACCCCTTCATCGCAGCTGGATTCCGATGTTTATGATCAAGTAACGGAAATTAAAAAGAATAACCAAGAATAAGACGTCAGACACATAAAATCTTTCTCTGTTAGATGTTCATCCTGGAGAGGGGTTACTAAAGGTTACATTTGCATATTTTTATCCTTAGCAAGTATCTAAAATTCTGTTTCTTTTACGTTTATTAGTAGTGTTTCCAGTTATTTCGGAAAAGGATGTAAAAAGTTTACTTGGAAAGTTATTCCACTATTAAATTATATGATCTGTATAAAATAAAAGCAAATTAATTTATAAGTTTAAGTGTATTAATAAAATATATAAATAAACAAAAAACAGTAATGTTTAAAATTATTTAATCTCCCTAGACTTTAATTGTTTTTGAAATTATATATATATATATATATATATATATATATATATATATATATATATATATATATATATATATATATATATATATATATATATATATATATATATATATATATATATATATATATATATATATATATATATATATATATATATATATATATATATATATATATATATATTTAAATATATTGATTACCTCTGATTAAAATTATTATACAGCGGATTAAAAAGCATCAATGATACGAAACATTAATGTGGAATCTAATCTACAGATAAAAATAATAAACATATAACATACACCTTAAGTTTCTTCTGGAGGATATTACAGTTCTTGAAAAGGTATATAAAAATAATATAATTGGTTTTTTAATAATACTGGTAAACCGTTTTCTTTGAAATTTAGTATTCTTGTGCACATTTTAATACCAAATACCGAATTAATGGCGACAGTGTGTAAATTCTTTAAGGATACAGTAATACCGTATGATCGAATAAAAACGGCGTCAACGATGGCTATGAAATGAAGATCGCTGTCATTTTATATGTAAAATTATATGGGAAATGTCATCGATCGTCATTTCCAAGCCAACTGGACGCCGTTTTTTTTCGATCATACGGTATTAACATGTGGCATAAAAACGAGGACTTTTTAATCGTTTAGAGAAACAGTGAACGTTTTTTAGATATTAAAGGTTACAATACGGACTTTGGTATTAAAGAAATCATAAGATCAGATTATGCTCTAAACATTTACAAGATATGTTACAAGTGAGGGCTGTAAAAACTTTCAATAGCTCTAAATTCCAGTATCTTTCAAGAGCTGTACCTCCGGAAGAAACTTATTTTCATAAAAACTTTTTCTTTTACTCTTACCTGTATTATCAACCACTGCAGTTTGCATTTTCATTTCATAGCCATCGCTGACGCCGTTATTTTTTCGATCGTATGGTATCAGCTACTGCAGTTTGGTTTTTTTACACCCTGTATAGACCTATTTATTAGATTTTTGACGTAAAGCAATATTATTAGTCTAAAAATGTTGTTTAAGATACTTCGACTATTTAAAAGAATAGAAATATAATGAAACGTGTCTCACACCTTATAAAATTATGCAACTTCAAACTTTGAAGTGTTAATTGAATGTAAAATAGTTGTAGGTCGTGAAAGAAAGAAACGCCCTATTTTTAAATTAAATGAAGTTTGTTATTAAAGCAACATTTTTTATTCGGCCTTTATACTGCGAATTACCACTAAAAGTAGAAAGGCGTCATAAAACGTAAGACCAAAAGAAACTTAATTAAAAATTTTAAACCGAATGAGAGAAACAGAAACATGTTGAGTGATTGTGTCGCTACAGCTCGCGAATATTAATATTCTGACGTGTATAACAAATGTTTTGTCCTTTTTGGGGTAAGAAATTATTCCGGCAAACCAAGAATATCTATTATGGAGAACTACCCGCCATTATATAGTAATTACGTTATGTAAAATTATTCTTCGCAAACTTTTGCTGAAAATTTGCATTGCTCAAAGTTATTTTTAAAATATTGTCCATAACCTGCTTTTTAAGACTTAACTTACTGTTTCATCACGATAATTGAATTTAGACATTTGCTATCATTTCTCATATCACTAGTTAGAAAAAAGTATTAAATTTTTTTATTCGTTTTTTAGTATTTCTGTTTTATAAAATAAGGTTAATAAGTGAACTTAATTAGATTTATTTTTAACATAAAAATAATTTCAGTGAGGACCATTTTAATACTAACACAGGTGCGGGGCGTAATAAGAGTTTTAAGCTTTTAGAGCATGTTCAACCCCTTACAAATGGAAAGATACATAATGTAGCATTTCCAAAGTTTCCCATAAAGATTTTATAGACCCTATGAGGACTATTCTACCTTTACAACTGATGTATCTGGGACTTTGCTCAGATTCTACCTCCCGTTTAGAAATCCTGATTTATGCAGATTTGTTTGTTTTACAAGTTTGTTTTATTAGGTCGATGTTTGTACAATATTTGCTTACAATGAATGCAAGATTATTGCCACCGCACATTTCACCAATTTCTTTATGTACATATTTTATTTCCTGCTAAAAATAAAGTAATAAAGTTCTTTTTTGTACAAAACTTTTCTTTATCTTCTATCTTGTTTGACCAGGCTTTCATAATATTAATCTAAACTTTTTATATTTCACAGCGCTTTTATATCGGTCAATTTAATGCAGTTATTAAATTGCTTACATGCAATATTTACCAGCCGATTAAATAATGAACTATAGCCTTTATGTGTCAAGAGACTAGTTTAAAGCTATTTATGCAATCAGCGGTAAACGGTACAAGCATCAAAGAGAAAATTTATTATTAAAGATAGGGTATTGATTTCACCTCTAATAAACCAGCTATGGTCTAACTTCAGGTTTGAAGTGTATTAAGACGCTATTATCTAGATTAAGGAGATAATAGATACGTCAAATTTATTTTATACATGTAATAATATTTTAGAATCTATTTCGGTTTAATATTAGTGTAGCAATAAAGAGCGTTAATTTGAAGGCTAGCAATAAAGTTTTTAGAGTTTGTTAATAGCCATAAAGCTTTGCTGTCTCTATATTCGACAAAGCAGATTCCTTTTATTCTTATTAGTTTCCGAGATTAAAAGAAGCGTGCTTTTTATAGATGTAGCCATTTCTGGTATATTTTATTTTGCAGATAGCAAAGGAATGAAACGAGAAAATAATAGAGTTTTAAAAAAACATAGCTGTATATTTAGGTTTTCTAGTAACACAAAACATTGAAAATCATATTGATAATGTGTTTCAAGCATTATAATAAAAATATATAATTCAGGTCAAACAAATTATTGCGATGAATAATAAAAAATGTAGTTTAAAAATATTTACTGTCACTTAACGTCTGACTTTCTTATTTAGCAGTAAACTATTAAAAGCGAATAAATTATGCATACATGTAAATGAATTTAAAATAAAGACAGAATGATAAGGAATGACACAAATGTATAGTGCATTAATTAAACTTTAAAACGCCACTTTAAAATTCGAATGGATAGAGTAAACTTCGAGATATAAACAAAGTAGTTATAAAATCTTAAGACATATATAGTTATATACATAGAAAGTTAAATTCGACTTTAAACTTAATTATCACATTTAGCAGTGATAAGAAAGTTAATGTTTGTCTTAATGTTGACATTTACTTATGTAATTTAAAGTAGCGTATGCTTTTTCAAAGCCAGAAGTTATTTTTAGCTAGTCAAATTTTCATTCAAATTGAAGTAGAATAATTAATATGTAATGGAGTTTAATAATTAATTATAGTCTCTTTTATATTAAAGAATCTGCTATATTCAAGTCACTTTCGTTATTTGATATTTTAGATAGACATAAATTTCTTGACCCATGAAATTTAGATGCCTCGAAAGCAAAAAACCAATTTAATAGTCTAACAGATTCCTGAAACATTTTATTATGATGTGAAATATTTGGTATCTTACTGTAATACTCTCATTCTAGAAGGTTAGACGGTTAACATTTATAGACTATTTAGAAATTGCTTGTGAGAGAAACAAAGCAGCTAAAAATAAGTTTTATTAAATTATAACAAAAGCTTATTTGTGCATTGTATTAAAAACCATAATTAATACACATTAATAAAATAGGGTAAAAAATATTATAGTTTAAAAAAAAAATACCTGTAATAAAATGTATCAGTTTATAATAGCGTATCAGAGTTTATAATAGCGTTATTTGTTATGCTGGTCCTTAAGTTATTCCTACTAATCTCCTATTTATATATGGTCCCGTTCTTAGTTTAATCTTCATTTAGGTGTCATAATTTCTTGTGGGTACCTTGCTGTAATTTTTGTGGTGTTTTGTTTGCAGTCCTTTCCAGGTGTCCTACCCATTGCATCTTGAGGGATTTAATTAACTGGTTCTACTAAAATAAACCAACACAGTAAATGAAATAGACATACTTTTAATCCATGAAAAAATGTTTTAGAAAAATCTAAAGAATTAAAAAGGTAGATAAAAGTTTTTTATAAAGAATAAGATGCAATTTCGTTTGTGTGAATGGATGAGAACAATCAGGCTTTGATAAAGTTGCAACTGTCGTTAGAAGTTAGAGCAAGAAAATTTTGTATGCTTGTTTCTCAGAATATTTCAGTGTATCGCATAACTGAGCTTGCCAACGAATTCCTAGATTAGTATAAATTTGTCTGCCTTCCACTGTTTGTTGTCTTATGCGGCTATTTCAGATTAAATTCAATTGTCGCGCGTAAGCCAAATAAATTCATTCTCCTCATTAACAAATTGTTCCCACTATAAAATCCCCAGTTCGTGATTGTCTTAACGATTTTCAATTTATTCCGATAATCTGTTTACTTCTCTATAATCTGAAAATGAATCAACATCAAATTATTTTTTTTATAGTTCTTTATTAAAAATGTATGTAATATTATTAATACTAAAATAACATATCATCTAGAGGGAAAAAAATAATTCAACTAACTTCAGTGGGTACTAAATATAAAAGAAAATTTTTGTTTAAACATATGTGCACGATGTATTAAAAGAATTAACAATAGATACATATCAAATTATGTTAACAAATTATACATAATAAATAGATACATACCAATTAAAAAAAAAGGCTGAAAGAACTGTAACTCAATCAAAAGCATCTTCGGGTATATGTACCTATATTATAGAAACTGTTTCTTTTATTTTATTCAGGGTGAGCCTTAAAATAAGTGCAAATATTTTTAGGGGTAGTATATTTTGCCCCAGAAACAAGTCTATGTGATTTTTTTTAGTTCTTAGTTAAAAATTATAATTCTTTGATAATATGGC